GGATCCTACCTCACTGATTAGAGCATTATGTTTAAGCACCTTCCTTGTTTTCATGATTCGCACAATAGCACATTCCATATAATACTTACGATCATGTGTAACCTTAAGAATCATATAGAAGCCGTGGAAAGGAACCAGAATAAATCTATTTAAACTAATCTTACCGTATTACTGACGGCTTCTGCCTCTTTTTCCGGGTTTTTCACAATCTGAGGTGTAGTAAGGCGGAATCTAAGTCGTTTGCATGACAATGTTTTGTTTAGCGTTAATTCTGAAGATTCGCTCAACTCCTGAAGAACAAATGATGAAAACTCAAGGAATTAAGACTAAAATGGTCCAATACGAACCATGCAACGCAACTACATAGTTCATATTGCAGGGAAAAGGGAACAAGGCTGACCTTGCTGGTTGTTGTCAGTATATTGGCATCAAGAATTGATCGCACATTCCGAATTAAGGCATCTCCAGTCAAACCAGTCACCACAGCCACATCGGATACCTTACAAAGAATATGCAATCGCGATACTCGATAGAAGAAGAAAATTTTGTATCGATATTCCAGCACAAAGTGCAAACCCATCTAATCTTAGTGGATCGTATGGGAATCCCTCGCTTATTCTATTATTATAAAAAAGAAATCCTACACGAAATGATGTGGAACTTTCGAAAAAAGATAGAAAAAGCCTTTAGTAAAAGCAAAAACTAAAATAAAATTTACGGCGACCTTAACAATGGAAACCTTACTGGAACTGTATCTCTGTCCTGGAAACATAAGATGACAGACATTTGATGCACACTCATCGAAACCAAGTATGGCTTATCCAGATAGGTGAACCGCAGCTCTCCTTAACCCATCTCAAATCTTAACGGAATTGCAGCAAGCATAATAATTGAACTCACTGACCATGTGACATATTAAACAGCCAAGTAAGTTTTCTCCCGTTATGCGCTCCAATATAATATTTCTCAAACTCTGTTATAGACGGTTGTAATATGGCTGGGAGTATGAACGAAGTCGTTTCGGGATTGCCGTTGCTGGT